TCTCTCTCTCTCTCTCTCTCTCTCTCTCTCTCTCTCTCTCTCTCTCTCTCTCTCTCTCCCATATGACAGTTCAAAGGAGGATGATCAGGGGTTTTAATTCACATTTCATCATTGTTACAATTACACAATAGTTTCAGCAATATATAATTGTTGTTAGAGCCCATCCTCATTCTCATAGAGAGAGATCCCAACAGCTCTAGAATGATAGTTTCTGTTCGGATCAGGATCTCTGCTGGTAGAATACTAATAGTCACTTCATCTTTTACTTTAGAATCTCATGACATGTATGTATAGTACTGTAACAATGAATGGTTATATATTAAGGATATTCCTTATGTTGTTATATTCCTTGTTAGCAACTAGATACGTGCAATAGCGTAGTGAGTAGAGTGCCTGCCTTGAGGTCACAGGTTCAAACCAAATACTACTGAATACAGACTAAAGATAGCCCTAAGTTCATTCAGGTCTCCTAATGTTAAAGGGTTACCATCCATGCAGTCCATTATGATTAGCAAAAGAATCAGAAACAGGCTGCTTTTTATAAGACACAGGTCCGATTTCATCCCTCTCGTCCCAGTGGACCAGATAGTATTGCAGAAAAATGTCCAGGTTAATCTTTAAATAGCTTTATCATAGGATGGTTTTTAACCTTTGGTATGAAGGACAGGGATATGGCAATCACAAGGACATGGCCCATGTCTTAACCATGGGCCTTAATAAAGGTGTCAGGGCTCGAAATACCACCTGCATACACATGTATGGCCTGGCATGTACAGGTCAGTGCAGGTAAAATTGGAGCTGTGCAGTTGTTTCTGATGTCTACCTGCACAGAACAAACACTAGTCAGTATACTGTGTTTATACATTTAGTTGTACATGTGTATTTGGATTTTTATTAGCTGCGTAATCCTTTGACTGTCACCACCATGAAGTGTAAAAAATAATGGCAATGGCATAATAATGATAATAGTTTCTGAACAGTTTTTAGTATGAATCTATGATCCATACGTCCTAAATTCTAAGTGGTTCAGGTGAAACGTGTCTGGTGCAGGTAATTTTAAATGCTACCTGCACCAGTGCAGGTAAGCAGAAAAAAGTATTGTGAGCCCAATGATGTACTGATTCAGAAGCATTTATCTTGGTTGATTTAGATTTTCATAGCATCTATATGCTTATCAAACTCAGATTTTCCCTTAGGAAAACTATAATCATTAACTGTTGTATCTTCATCTTGCGAATCTCATTTTTCTCTTTTCCAGCTGGAGAAGAAAACCCTGGAAAGATTCACCAACCACGACAGGGTCGTGGTCATCAGAGGTCACCCCAAGGTCATTGCCAGAGATCTGTCTTTGTACGAACAAGCATTCCACAAACATGGCTTCTACGTCAGGCTGCCTGCAGGTTTCAGGTCCAACATTACTGGCTTCTCCAACTATTCCTCCAGTTATGAAGGTGAGTCATAATAGAGATATTAAATTATATTATAGAAGATTGATATTTAAGGCATTAAATGCAACTGTGAGGAATTTGTCTGATATTGACATTTACTGCCATTTCTTAGTGTATTTTTGTCATCATTTCGAACATGTTTGAAATAGCCCAAAACAAGCTCTGTGACGAGGCCCTTGGTTTTTTGGTACCAACAATATAGAACCAGCCAACGATACAAAACAATCAGCCATATGCGATTATAAGTCACATTTTTGCCTCACAGCTATCGGTATACTATGGGATAGGGTTGATTCAACTTACATGTACTACTGTACATTAAAAAATGACCGGAAAATTGACTTTGAAAATCCAGTTTTACACTGCCCTTAAATTACATTGGGTGCCTTTAACATTGGAGCTTATCTTACATGTACATTGCTGTTAATTCCTGCACATACTTTGCTGGATTAATTAGGAGTGTGACATATGTCAATAATAATGATGAGAAAACTTTAACTTTGATATTTGTATTCAGTCGAAAATTTCTGGTGAATTAATTTCGTTTTTGATTTGGAGAACAGTTTAACCTTCTTTATATGTGTATGTTTATGCAAATCATTTACTAAAGGGATTTGAAAGATAAACACACCCACTGTGTTTCTGTATCGAATAATACATCAAACATGAAAAGTAGTGAAAGCTTGAGAAATGCATACTGTTACACACCACACATACTGTACTTCTGGGAAAATCCATGGTATTCCAATCTCTAACTGTGTTTAGTAACCGATCATGGGTTCTAACAACAGGTGATGGGCTAATGAGACAGGGAAGGAGACTTGTGGGTGTCCACAGGTGTCTGGTACATGTCCACCGAGCATAGGACAATGTGTGGTATCTTAAAGGCAGGAAAACATGTCTTGAAAAACGTCACGACTGTCTACACCAATGTCTAGCATCATTAAACTGCAGCAGTTTTTTTTTGACAAGTCATGGAATTAAATGGGTCAGGAAAAAAGATCCTGGAAGATGTCACAACTGTCTCGTTCAGTGCCCAGCAAAGTAACAGAATGTTTTACAATTTATGCTATTGAACAGGGAGAAAAAAAACAACAAATCCTGAATGTCTTGTTCAAGGTCCACTTTACCCCACTTTGAAAGATTTCACCAGAAACTCCCGTACAGTTCCAGAACAAGCTGCTAAGGGACCAAACTCACACAACCCTACTTACACAAAAACTATCTGTCACAAGAAAAGGATAAAAATAACAGTTTCAGTACCAAGGTCAGCCACTAGGAGGCTCACATTTGAATTTGACCTTTGTCTTCCTAAGCCCTACCCACATACCAAATATCAATGCAATCCATAAAGGTCTCCTTAAGTTATAGGCTGACCACAACTATGCAGAAACACAGACAGACAGACAGACAGACATAGAGACACATCTAAAACAGCACCTCCATTTTTCACGGAGGTAATGACCATGGAATTGGACAGGGAGAAAAACAAGTCCCGAAAGACGTCACAGCCGTCTTGTCTAATTTCTCTCAGAGTGACAGGGACTGTAACATATCAGCCCAAAGCTCATGTGAAGTAAATGACCTCAGAATATGATCAGGCAGCCTGTCCAAAGGTATTATGGATTTGGGACTACATATACTGGGTGCAGGTGACACATGACAAAATGCAGAGAGGCAAGGTCAACCAAAGTAGTGGCAGTGAAATGTTCACAAACACAGGTCAAGTTTCACTGCAAGATATTTGTAACATTGTCAGAATAGTACAGTGTCAAGTCCAACAGTATTATGAATGTAGGACTATGGAGTACAGGTGACAGATGACAAAATGCAGGGAGGCAAGGTCACCTAAAGTAGTGGCAGTAAACTGTTCACAAACACAGGTCAAGTTTCACTGCAAGATATTTGTAACATTGTCAGAATAGTACAGTGTCAAGTCCAACAGTATTATGAATGTAGGACTATGGAGTACAGGTGACACATGACAAAATGCAGGGAGGCAAGGTCACCCAAAGTAGTGGCAGTGATATGTTCACAAACACAGGTCAAGTTTCTATAAGATATTTGTAACATTGTCAGAATAGTACAGTGTCAAGTCCAACAGTATTATGAATGTAGGACTATGGAGTACAGGTGACACATGACAAAATGCAGGGAGGCAAGGTCACCCAAAGTACATTTGTAGTGGCAGTGATATGTTCACAAACACAGGTCAAGTTTCTATCATCATCATCATCATGTCGGGAGTTGTAGTTCCCGGTCCCAAACCCTCTCTCGCCAGTCCACTTTGTCCGTCATGGCGCTCGCCAGGTACTCCTTTGGAAGACCCACATCAGCAGCCAGCAGGTCTATGATATTTGTAACATAGTCAAAATAGTACAGTGTCAAATAAAAGGTACTAAAAGTGAAATTTTACATCAGTGGTCTCGAAAAATTTGTTGTGGACACACTCACTCAGTCCTGTAACCGCAGGCTGTCTGTCCACAAAAGTTTTCCACCTCTAGATCTGGCAGTTGTCAGTCATTCCGGTCAGTTAGACCAAGTTTTGAACCTCCTTGGTTGGACCACTGTCTCTCCCGACCAATCCTTGATGTCACTGATCCATGCTTGATGGGGGTAACCCTGTGGCCTCTCCCCCTCTGTATTCCCTTGTAGAATGTTATTGGGCAGATGAGCTATTAAAAGTTGTGGTCAAATGTGTATATAATTTATTTAAGGGTTAATGTCCCGCCCCGAGGTGAATATGGTGTGATAAAGCCTTGTCAGTTGCTATAACCACCGAATAAAGCCACCAAGTGAGCGCAGCGAACGAGGTGGCTTTATATGAGGTGGTTATAGCAACTGACAAGGCTTTATCACACCATATTCACCGAGAAAGGGCGGGCCATTAACGCTATTATCATATAGCTTACGCGATAGCCTATCCACACTGATGCAGTGAAGAGTGACACAATGTACAATTTACCCCTTGCACATGCTGAATAGAACATAGAATATTTGTTCCATCTGGAGTCACCTGAGGTCACTGGGGGGTTCACGTTCTATGGCCTTCTATCTGGGTCACAGGCAGGGAACAGGTGTTCTTATGGGAGTCACCCGAGGTCATCGGAACACAACTCAAGTTATTCTTGGATTTTTAAGAAGTAGAGCCCTGTTCTATTGGGTCACCTGAGGTCATATGCGGGTGATTATTCATTTTGTTTAATGTATGGATTGGGATGAATAAATACCCGATTTTGACTCTATTTGTGACATTACGGCGACATAAAGAATGTGGAATGGAGCCTTCTGATTGGTCAACGTCACCCGGCTATATGATAAATGTATGTATTTGATACAATACTAGTAGAAAGGGTTCCTGAAAATCTTCGTCAAAAGTCACAATTTGATACAATGTGTATGTAATTTGAAAACCAAATGAGGTACACATAGATCTAACATAACCATTGTTATTAACTTTTCTTTCCGTTTATTTTCTTTTCTGTGCAGTAATCTATTCAAGTGTACATGTACATTGCAAATTTGCATTATAAATACCTTAAAAAAAGTCCAAGATTGCCATCTTCTTGATATTTCAGTCTGTATACAAGTACTCTCCTATTGTCTATGATGTATTCAAAAACATTTGTCTACTTTGCACTGTTCCCTATACTAACAAAAAGAATCCCATGCTTCAAAGACATGTGTTTACTCTGCAAATGTTCCCTACACTAACACAAGGAATCCAATGCTTCCTGGTAGGACTTTAGTGGACGGGGTGGATTATTATCAGTCTGACTAGAGCCAGGTCTAATGCTCTCCAGACTTCTATCACGTTCAGGAATCCAAATATTTGAAGAGAGTAAGATAGATACATGTAGATGCTGCACATGATTTTATTGATACCAGGGTGACTGAAGTTAGATATTCTATGGACAATCTAGCCTCTACCAGGCTTCAGGGGTGATTACAATTTGTAGAAAAAGTAGAAATTGGCCAGATGCATGTAACATGCCAGGGGCTGCTAAAAGAAGTGGGAGTAGCAAACTGTACTCCTTTTAGCAGACCCCAACGTGTTATCTGTCTTTTCAGCTGCTTCTGAAGTCTGGTAGAGGCTAGGATTGTCCTCTGGGTTGAACTAGTGTGCACACTGTGTACCTAAACCCACAATTAAGTTGAGGTCCAGATTCAAGTCCAGAGGTTTAGGTTGTTCAGGTCCGGACTTGTGAGTACGGACCTGAACCCATGGAATATACAAAATTGCATGTTGGCAACCTTGCACTGTTGTCCAGGCGAAACTGTGGCCACTTAACATGGAGGCCGACACTTGCTTTTGCAATCTATGGAAAGTTTTGGGTAAGTTTGGAGCAAAAAGGGTTTTTTTTTAATAAGTCCGGAACTGGTTCTTGCCTTTCACGTTTTTTTTTACTTGAACCTAAACATTTTCAGTGAACCGGTACACAGCACTGGGTTGAATACTAAAAATGTAGTAGTTAACACACCTACATGTACATATGTACAGCTAGGCAGCTACCCTAGGCAATCCCTCATCACCCCAGGTTTTATCAGCACAGATTGGCTTCATCCATCTTGGTACCAAAATGCCTGCCAACTCCCGTCTTCCTGTGGGAAATCATCTTCATCCATTCTGATTAGGAGCAAAATTCATCCCAGCATCTCTCATGTCCCCCTGCAACACTGGGGGTTTAGATTACAGTAAAAAGACAGTCCATTGACTTAGTAACGTTATAACGTTATAACGTTCCTTCCTTAAGTGGTTTTCGAAGAAACTCAGTTTTCCATAGCTTCCATGGGAGCAATTATGTTAAACTGCACCTATACGTCTTAATAGTTTGTCTGCATATATACAGGGCTTGAAATACATGTATCACCAGCATATGCAGGTTAATGCAGGTAAAATTGGGGCTGTGCAGGTATTTCTGATGTCTACCTACATCTAACCTGTACTTATAATCTCTTTACCATTGCAGTTGACATTGTGTGCCAACACACAGATAATGGTAGAATGGACTGTCCTATATAAAGTTTCTCAATAGGCAGGACTCGATATACTTGAAGCGTGGTGCGATTCAGACTGCAAATAAAACAAGTTTTGAAACACGTTCAATTTAGTATGTGACATGACGGCTGGTCTATGTCATACGGGTATACGTCTATTGGTTCTGTCACAAACTGCCCTTTTGTACAACTGTTCTTGTAAATTGAGGTGTACATGTATAAACATCTAGGACAGATAATACTGTTGAATACAGGAGTAAAAGACCTGTTGGTTGTGATATCATGTTTTGTTACCTCAATTTTTGTTTACATAGCAAGGCTTACTCAAAATCTGAAAATGTAGGAGTCCTGTATTTTTCTCATCCTATCGCATTAAATTTGGAAACTGCACTGCAGAGGATTTCATTCAATCAAAATTTATTTGCTGTGGCCCAAATGTAAAGCAGGTGTGAGGTGTTGTGGTGGAGTGTGTCATCCCTAGCTGCCTACAAGGCCTGACAGACTGGCAATCTGGGACAAACTTAGGTTAAGGAGACCCAGAGGCCCCATCTTCTTGTTCCAACTACTAACCTCAAACACGAACCATGGGTCAGGTTCAAGTTCAGACCATCATTTTTGCTACAGAAGACACTGTGTGTGGAGAATGTACAATGAAGTACACATACAGTACACAATGAAAAACTACATGTAGCATGTCCAGATCACAGAATATCAAATCTGGAAGTCCCACTGCGATACCATAACAATCTGCTAGGGACCCAAAATTTTTATCAGCCCAAGATCTCATATCATCAAGACCAACTCATCTACCAAGTTTCATGACAATCCATTCATAGTTTCTTGAGTTATTGTGCTAAACCAAATACACACACACAAACATGAACAGGTGTTGCTGCAAATGTACTTGGACAAGTATGTCTAGAAATGAAAGTACAGCGGGACAAGAAAATACTAGATTTTGAAAAGAAAGCAATGAACAAATTCTATTACATCAATATCAATCACACTTTTTTATTAGGTGGTTCTTATGAAAAAAAGTTTCCCCAAACCCCCTTTCACAGCCTCCACCTTCCAGATCAGAAAGAGTATTTCTTCCATCTGGAAATGTTCCCCCCAGCCTGGCACAGGTCCATAATATTTGGAGGTGCGGCTTCAGTCCAGGGCATCTTTCATTACCTGTCATATGGAGGAAACGTGTGCTAGAATACTAAACACAAGTTAACTACTTCAGGATGTATGGCAGACTCCACAGTTTTTGTGGGAGACAAGAAGCACATAGTTTATTTCTTCTCTAGAATGAGTTTTGATTCATGGTTTTATTTCAAAGAGATGTGTTACTAAAGGAATCACATTTGAAGGCTGATCTGACCCAGTATTTTGTGCATAAAGATTGAATATTGAACCTGGCAGTTTTTCAATAGTAATCCAGTCGTAGATGGAGTTGTTTGGGAGTTTCTGCTGCAAAATTTAATTTGAAGTCATAGTTTGGTTTCTGCAGTGTCTACTATTTTTATCATTGTACCTGATAAATTTTATTTATATCAAGGATCTGAAAACTGGATCTGAAATGAGAACAAAAATCGACCAGTTGGGATGCTCTTCTTTAACCTTTTGTAGCCTCCATAGCATGCCAAAAACTGGGGGTTTGGGGGGCATTTAGAGTCTTTGGGAGCTTTTTTGTGCTATTTTCTGATTACATATAGACAACATAGCCGGCCTGGTTGAATTACCCCCGTTTTAGAACTGGGCTAATCAGAAAACAGCCGAAGACCACCAAACCCCCAGTTCTATAAGCCTGCTATGGAGGCTAAACCTTTTGCAGGTTAGCCCAATTGGCAGGTTTTTGTAGCAAAGCACTTTGCAGTTAACCGGTTTCTATACTTCATTTGTGATTGACTTTTTTCTACCAGATTTCCCAACCGCAAAGTTCGCTATGTTTCAGTCCAGACTTCCGAGTAATTTCCTATCTACATCCTGAGGTCAATGTCAAAACCACTCCACTATCAGGACTCCGTAGGTGGCCATACCTCTGACTGATAACATTCCGTACAGACAAAAGTCAGACTGAAATTAGGTTAAGCGGCTATGAATATATAGGGAAGCTGTTAGTTTAACGAAAAAATTTGGAACATTATATGATTGCTTGGAATCTAGTTTTATATGGTGGTACCTGAAAGGATTTTCCAAAGGCACCCAGAGTGGTTTCAGAGCAGTAAAATTGGATTTTTAAAGTCAATTTTCATGTCATTTTTGTAATGAAATTTTGTAATTTTTACATGTCAAGTTGAATCAACCTTATTCCATACTGATATCTGTGAGGCAAAATGTGATGTTGCTGATAGAAAAGCTTGCTTTCTTGTTTTGTGGCTCACATAGCTTGTTATGGGGCTATTTCAAATGCTTCAAGTATAAAATTAAGACAAAAATGTGCTAAAATGCCAGTAAATGTCAATGTCAGACAGATTTCCTCGTTCTGAATTTTTTTTTTTGTTCTGCTCATTGCATTCCTGTACTGTTCATCCCAAAGATTGTTTGACTCCTCAACAGGATAAAGTACTAGTCTTCACTGTTTAATTGGAAGTAAAGTTTTCTCTGTCGTTGTTGCAGATGTACAATTGTTTGAAGCGACTGTGGAACAGTCCCAGGATGCCCTGCAGCAGTCCCACCATGCATTGCTGGAGGGGGAGAAGGAAGGGTGGATGGTGCTCTTGTGTATGACTTTCACAGGTCAGTCAATAGACGTACAGGCCATACCAAAACAGTACCCTGATCTGTCTGCTATGAAGAGGGGATATACATTTTACACTGCATTGTGTTTGGATAGGCTATCTACAGTTTCAGATGACAACTTAGAAATGGTCACAAGCAGTGTTCTAGCCAACCTGAATTTTTTGTCGATTTTGTTTGACGTAACACCATATCGACAATCCTAGCTAGGGGGATGCTCCCCCAGGAAAATTTTGAAACCTTGCAACATAATTCTGTTGACGGCAAGAGTCAATGCTGTCTAGAACACTGATAGGATGCATCCAGTTAAATGTTTGTGTTCTTGGGATACACATATTTTTTTCTTGGAACGTTTAAAGAACTTCACAATCTTTCACTGCAGATGGAGACTCTGGTGAAGGCATGTGTCTTCACAAGGCCACATATGGGCACCTCAAACCACATCAGAAGGTAACATGGGCATACTTCACTATTTCAAAGAGAAATAGCAGAATTTAAGGTGGACATAACTAACCTACATGTATCTGCTTACCAGTCTAACTTTCATTGACGCAAACAATGCACCTGTAGCTACAATTATAGTTCTCAGTAATCTAATGATGTACGGTAACTTGCAGGTGAACAGAATCCCAGGTGTGAGGACGACTCTGTGGAGGAAGGACGGGTTCTGCCACACCATGTCAGCAGCCAGGAAGATCCCAGGTGCATCTCTTCCCTAACTGTCCAACAGCAATGAAGCCATGTTTGTTCGGGAGACTAGTTAGGCAGTTTGCAGTTCTTGTATCTGTATCTTGTCCTATGACCACATACATGCATGATGCATTTTGCTAATTGTCTTTTCCCTAATTGCTTTTACCGGTATGTTATAGATTATAAACAGTTGTACTCCAAACATAGATCCATTGGAAGAAAAAAATTAGTGCATACCATCACATTCATGTAGTTGCTACAGCGCCAAATAGTATAGCCTAGCAAACTACTTCTGTTCATTCTTATGGTGACCAGCCCCTCCAACTGTGTCCTGCCACTTGCTACATAATATAATACAACACCATACTAGGGTGTCTGCTTCGCCACTAGTTACCATGGTGACAGCTGTCTGGTCCAGTTCATTGACATTATGTGTTTGGAGAAGAAGAAAATTAAGAAACCAAGCAAAAGCAGTATGTTTTCCTCTGTTTATTCTTATGGTGACCAGCCCCTTCAACTCTGTCCTGCCACTTGCTACATAATATAATACTACACACTAGGGCTTTGCCACTAGTTACCATGGTGACAGCTGTCTGGTCCAGTTCATTGACCTTATATGTTTGGTAGAAGAAGAATTTGAGCAAAAGCAATATGTTTTCCTTGTAAAGAATACAACATTTACATAAAAATTTCCCGATGTCCGTTGTACCCCAGCCCTGCGGAGAAGCCCCCTGGCGCCCATGTGCTGGGTCATGCCCCTGGAGTTTGAGCAGTTCCTGAGCGTGGCTGACGCTGTGGGAGGGGAGGCCAAGTGGGTCTTCAAGTCCATCAACCCCGGAGGAAACATCTACATCCTACAGCCCACCAAGGACAGGGACTATGCCAGGATCAAACAGTAAGGCTACAATTATTGTTGCATAGAAAGGGCTTATAATACAAATGTAAGGTCAACATGTAGCATACTATAGAAACAGGAAGGACTTAAACTGATAAACACAACTTAAAAATATCAAAGCGTATAAGCTTTCAGGCAGCATCCGCCATCTTTCTTCAGCTCCTGACGAGGGCAGTCACCTGAACAAGAGGTTAAAAGGTCAACACATGTACATGTAACATGTTACAGATTACACATGTACAAATTGTATAGCCTGGTTACCTGTTAAGCTACTTAATCTCTTTTGTGCTATTTGTGGAGAGGACAAAGAGATTCAGTGCTCAGTTAAAACATGTTTGGTAACCAGGCTATAAATTATTCCTTGGATGTTTGGTCAACATTGCATAAGAATTTTGCCTGTTGCAAGTGATATCTTTTCTGACACTGCATATCAAAAATATAAGTCATCCTTAAATGTAGCCTGAGTGTCAGCGTTGTTAGCGTTCGTCCGCTCCCCAAGATCCACTCCCCGCTGCCTTAAATGTGCAGTTGTAACCTTAAACAATACGTTCTGCAGGAGTGCTATGCACCCAACATTACGGCTTTCACACAGGCACAGTATGTACTGCCAATGTGCTCATTTTACCCGTCAATTATTCCATTCTCTCTGCATATGTACATACAGGATGAGGAAAGCTTTTCTGACACTACATTTGAAAACTATAAATGTGCAATTATAACCTCAAACGATAAGTTCTACCAAAGTGCAATGCACATGGCATTACGGGTTTTGCATAGGCACAGTGTGTTCTACCAACGTGTTCATTTTACCCATCAATTATTGTTCCACTCTTATCGTAGATACAGGACGAGGAAAGCAGTAGTCCAGCAGTACTTCCCCAACCCTCTGCTGATATTTGGGATGCCGGTCAGCATCCGTGCGTACGTGTTGGTGACCTCTGTCTCTCCCCTCCGTGCCTTCCTGCACTCCGAGGGGCTGGTCAACTACAGACATGACTACCAGAGGAGCTTTAGAAAGGTTGGTCTGCAAAAAGTCTTTTAGTAAGATGAACACCACTGTCACACATTCAGAACCTTCCCCCGAGCACCAACCAACCAAGGTTGGCTGAAGTTCAGGAGCAGTCTGACCTGATCTAGGCCACAATCAAATCAAATTTGAGTTAAATTTGAGTCAAATCTAATCTACTCCAGAATACCAGCCAACCATGGCCACACCCAAATGTTTTTGAGATTTTGAAACTTGACTGGTGAAGCCTAACAGTAGCCAATCTTGACAAATACCAGCCAACCACAGCGGACCTTGCTCCCGAAATACATGTACTCCAAACCATGGTCAGGGGAGTACGGCAGTGTTTGGGAGGCCATATTCAGATATGTGTGACAGAGGCCTAAGCCACAGTCATTCATTTTATTTTGTACACTGTGCCATTGTGTGAAAAATGTTCCTTGTAATCTTTATTTTCATGGTTGGAACAAACCCGATTACTGATTCAGCACCAAGGACAGGCTCTATACCAGAATTCCTGTCCTTGGTGCTGAAATGGTTATCAGGGATGTTGTGCCACCCGCTCTTTCAATTGTGTAAAAACATCCCTAATAGCACTAAGGACAGTAGTGCTTGCATAGAGCCTGTCCTTGGTGCTGAATTAGTAATCAGGTTTGTTCAAACTGCATATATAATGATTGCGTTTAGCTTTGCATAAGGAAAACGTGTTTTTTCTTGCTTCCTTTCTTCTTCTTCAAACAAATAAGGTCAATGACCTGTACCAGACGGTTGTCACCATGGAGAAAGAATTTTCTACCCACACATTTTTTGTCCTTTAGGTCCCCAGCAGAATCTGGTACTTTGGTCAGCTGCGTCAGTACCTGTCCCATAACCACGGTGCCGAGGCAGCGGAGGTGGCCTTCAGGAACATGCAGTCTGTCATCACACAGACCCTACTGGTGTCCGAGTCAGCTCTGGCCGCACACTTTGGGGGGTACTCCGCTAATCCTATGGAGGGACTCTACAAGTAAGTTATGGCATGTTCTTTTATATGTCTATTGTAAACTGAGTGGGGTATGTTGTAGTGGTCAGTAGAATAGACTTGAATTTTTTGTTTGGCTATACCTTTGACCCAGTGTTGACGTCACACTTAAGAGAAGCCACATGACAAGTGTCACTAGGTCAGTCTATTGGAGAAGACTGGATTGACTGGTTAAACAATTTCATGTGTTGGAGCAAGAGTTAACTTTAAACACGTAACTACCAACACAGATGAACATTCATGTTTTTTGTCTTTCCACACAGATGCAAGAACTGTTTTCAGCTCCTGGGGTTTGATCTCATTTACAACTCATCTCTCTACCCAATGGTGTTAGAGGTAGGTGACCATCACATGTGTAATACATGCTTTTGTGAGGATCTGTTAATGGATCCGCAGTCTTAAATTTATCTCTCTTTGTCCCCCTCTATCTGCAGGATGACAATCTAAAACACTGAGCATATATGATGTGATACTACTTAACTATTATACTACAAAAGGATTGTGGGCTACTTTTTGTACATATGTGACACTTTTGGCAAAATTTTTGTCCCTCGTGAGAAGCAAAATTCCATCGACAAATGATGGAAAGATGGACACTGGTACATCTGACTTGTACATCTGTCACCCTTTAGGTCAATGGGCAGCCTCACATGCAGGTCTCTCTGAATGTAAGTTCTCAAATCATGATCTCAGCATAACAGCATGTACTTGACATATACAGTAGGTCAGGGTAGAGACTCCCATTTGGTACAGTAATTCTACCAGTAGAGATTCTGATCAGAGTCTTTGTCAACATATTCGAAACTCTGATCACTATGCTGTTAATGTGTTAGGGTGGTTTCCCATTTACAAATCATGAAAAAAGTCGATCAATTGATCTAACGTGGCTTCAAAGTTGAAAAGTTCTGTCTTTCCTCCTTTTAAGCGAATGTTTTCAAACAATTACAGACTCTGTGAGCAGAATCACTAATTCATCATCATCATCATCTTCCTTCCCACTTAGCCCTCAATATAGAGGATTACTAGCAACTGCACAAAGTTAGTAACTGTGCAAACAAAGGGCAGGATAGGGGTAAACGTGGACAAGTGAAGGAACAGGACAAGTGAAAATTCGTGAAATTTTACCAGATCAGAGCCTCTACCCTGACATATACATGTAGATACCTAACACTTTGCATGGATGCATCAATATCCCATTGCATGTCACTTTGCATGTCATTCATTAACCTATAATCTGCTGCATCATGACTGTAGTTAACTCCTAGCTGCTCATCATGACTGGTATTGTTTCTCCCACACGCTGCAAAAGGAGTTTGAGAATGAAACCACTATAGCACCTCAGGTATGTGAGCTACAGGTTTGACATGTGGTGTTGTAAAAATGGTGATATTTGTGTGACTGCAGTATTAAGTGTGTTTTGATAAACTTTGTAATACTGACTTGCAGAAGTCAGTCCAAATGCTAGCTATCTTCTGTGAACAGCATATCCCTTCTGTTTTTATAGAAAATAGCATTAAAGACTTGTGTGTAACCAGCTGGTTTAAGGTATCTTGCACTGAAAATAAATACTCTGTTTAACAGTAATACATAGTGCAGAATTACATGTACAAAATATGTGTATTTTGTTAACACAAGATATGTTAACAGTGCCATTTGAAATTAACCCTGTTTTTTTTTGCGGTGTTGTGGCCCTTAATTGAAGTCTTGTGCCCTGAACACTTCGCTCTCAAGATGCAATATACATGTTAGATGTCCAATGACAACTGAAGGAATGATTAAAAAAACATCCATTTTTGTACAATGTGCCAACACTTTCACAGCTTGAACTAACCTGATTACTGATTCAGCACCAAGGACAGGCCCTATACAAGAATCCCTGTCCTTGGTGCTGAAATGGTTATCAGGGATGTTTTTACACCTTTGAAAGAGTGGGTGACACAATAAATATAATGATTACAGAAGTAAAACATGTTTGTTTTGCTTTGCTCTTTCTTCTTCTTCTCCAAACAAATAACGTCAATGACCTGTAAAAGATAGTTGTCACCATGCAGAAAAACTTTTCTACTGACACACACTGACAAAAACCTCCCACAGGACGAGGGTTGGGCCAGTAACTCCATCAAGCAGGACGCAGCTGAGGACATGGTGGGGATGCTGTTCTCAGAGCAGCTGGTTGCCATGGAAGTAGCCGACGCCCTGGAGGAACTGGAGCTGAATGTTGGGATACTGGTATGTGTGTGTGTTATGACTCATCATGTACGGTTCTACATGTATGATGAGTTTGCCTTCCACAGGTTCTGTTACTTTTAGTGTTTGTGTGTTAGCAGCTGTTACTCACAGTGTGTTGGTCAGATTTGTTTGGTTCTTGTGATATGGTTAGCAATTGAGGTCTAGATTATGCGAATAATTGTTTTTCATTGTATCTGTGTTTTGGAGTGTTGAAATAAAATATTAGGACACACTCTGGACATCACTGTGCAGTAGGCAGTGGTTAGAATTAATGATTAGTTCTGTAGTGAAAGTATTATCAATACATGTACGTACATATAGTAGACATTTAGTTGTTGTTCTATCAATCCCTCCCTGCAGGGTGTGAACTGCCTGCCCTCCCATGAGTTCTGCCTGACAGAGGAAGACTTGGAGTACATCCTGGACACCAGGAGGGAGACGGTCAACAGGGGCAGCTTCATGCAGGTCAGTGTATCATGCTGATGTGTAGAGCTGGTAGTGTAGATCAGGTGCAGTACTTTCTTGAGTTGCAAGAGGGCACTGCTGCACTGTACAGTAATGTAATGTAATGTAATGTAAGTCCCATAGCCTTCACGGCCGTAGGGGCATCATGACAGCCAGCAACATGTCTGGACTTGTCACGATGACTCCTCAGGCTTATAATCTTGGCGGCGCCTATCTCCTCTCCAAGATTTGGCTGATACAGACGGGGTTCGCCAGGCCTCCGTCCGGGTGAATGATGTAAATCACCATGTGGCATATACAAGACGGAGGTCGCCAGGCCTCCGTCCGGGTGATTTGAAGTGAATCACCAACTCCATACATTAGTGTTTGTACCATCGCACACCGGGGCATGCCCCTACTCTTTTTCGAAAGGTGTGGTGGGATCTTTAACGTGCTCGAGGTGTGGCTCTCCTCAAACACGGGACCTCCAGTTTACGTCCTATCCGAGGGACGTCCCTAGCCGAAGCTAGGTACTCATTTACACCTGAGTGAAGTGAGGAAAATCGTGTAAAGTGCCTTTCCCAAGGGCACAAGATCGGTGACAAGGTGGGGTTCGAACCCACAACCTCTGGGGTGTGAGCCGAACGCGCTACCGACTGCGCCACACGACCCCACGCTAATGGTTTACACCCAAATGTTACAGGAAAAAAGCTGTCAATGAAAGTTTGTGGCAACCTTTTTTGCATGAAAGAAATATGTCCAGAAGCCCTTTTTTACCCTTTTTTCTGCTTCATAATTTGAAGAATTCTTCTGTTTTCCCACAGCTGTATCCTTCTCCAGACAGCGAGAAGTATGCCATCCTTCTGAAGGACCTGAGCAGGTTTGCTGGTGTGGACATGTCGGCACCCAAACCTCTACGTGCCGGCAACCAGAAAATCAAGGACATCCTGGACAACTCCGTACGCCACAACACTCCCATCATGCACAGGCTGGTGTCGGCGCTAGAGCAGGTGTACGCATCGCGGGAAATCGAGCGCCACAGGTTCGCCGAGCTGTCACCTGAAGAGTAAGCCACGGAACATGTTGGAAACCTCGCCCCCCTCCCAAAAGCCGCCATGTTGCCTCCATGTTGTCCATCCACCTCCTCGCAGCTCCGTGTTTTCTGGATTTTTTGTTTGGTTGTTTCTACAGTACAGATCTCTATTAACGTCCCTATTCATGCATTTTATGCAGTTTTACTTTGCTTATTTCTTACACAAAAATTGTATAAAAATGCGTTTGAATTGCAATTAAAAGCCGTGTGAAAGCTGTGTAACATGTGGTTAAAACTCGTGCAAAAGCTTTAAACCGTGTGCAATATATCTGTTACACATAACCACTAGCGATTACACAAACATCTACATACATCTTACATGAGAAATGAACACGATTTAAACAAAAAGTGTACGACTTTTGGACAATTGTATGGCTTTTGCACAAGTTTTAATCAGGAAATGCATGGCTTTTGATTGCATTTTGCACAACTTTTGATTGCGATTTGCAAGTGGGAAGTTATGCAAGACCTGTACTGTACTCCCATTCCCAAGTACCCATGTGTCTGAAAACTCTCTCATTCCCATTCTCTGGAACTCCTTACATATTCCTGGTTCACTTTTCAGAAGTCAGATCTGTGCGTTTATTCCTTCCTATGCCAGGTAGTATGTAGATCATTTATATTCTCTTCAGTTGGTGTGAAAAGTTGCAAGTAATTTTTGCCGTGTTTGCACTAACGTACATTTGCTAACATGACGGGTTTGTAAGAAAATGGTGATGTCTAACAGATGTAGTGCATAACTAAAACTTAAAAGCTCTGTGTGCTTGCTTGCCTTTGCCTTCTTATAATGATATTGATAATGAACAAAAATTCACCAAACTGTTTACTAAATAAGATCATGTTTTGGCTTGACATTTACTCCTAATTGGCTGTATGACGGATTGCTCTTTGATGTGAATCTAGTATCTACTGTGTGAGTTTGCTGGTTAGTAGATAACATTTCTTAGCCTCTACCAGGCTTCAGGAAGCGGCTGGGAAGAGTAGAAATTGGCCAAATACACAGATGATATACCAGGGGAGTTGGTCCACACTAAGAGATGTGGGAGAACAGCAAACTGTTCTCTTAGCACAGACCAACTCCCCTGGCATGTCATCTATCCATTTGGCCAATTTATACTCTTTCCAGCCGCTTCCCGAAGCCTGGTAGAGGCTAAACATTCCTGGGTCATGGAAAATCGGAATAACATGGATTTACATGTAATGATCATCACTACAAATACAATAGGACATGTAGTATCTACATCCTACTTTTGCCACCTGACAGAAAGTGAATACAGTCAGTCACTCAAGTTAGATGTACCATTTCTAATTCCATGGATGACTATGTTCTATAGGGAGGAAGATGAGGAGGAGGATGTGGTGGGTCTACAGCACCAGTCCCACAGACTCATCCACAACGCTTTCCAGGATGTTCCCCTTGATGGTGAGAATTCTACTTCCAATTTATTTCCCTAGGGTAAAATGAGGATGTTGCAGTTCTACCTTGTTCTCATAGAGGGCGCTTGTACTCCATTGGCATGTTTCATGACATCCAAGGCAGATGAATTCCCTGCAGTCTTGTTAATGAAACAACTAACATGTACATGTATGTGACAGTGAGTAGCGACATCCTGGCACCAGGCATACTTAGCTTAATGACTAAATCAACCGAGAGCTCTTGGCAAATGAATTGTTATGTCTACTCCAATACCGGAACAACTTAATACAATTGTAGAAGTAACTACATGTTGTACTTTAGTAATCACAACCAGCCCCTCTGAAAGGCACCACAAGTGTGGCCTAAATAGATAAACGATTACTTCTTCATTACTAACCGCAGGCATCTGTCTGTTTTTCAGAGAAGTACCAGAGACCGGAGTGTAATGATGGTAGGTTTTAATCTTGAAGCCATTTTACCTGGTCTGTTATCAATAAAGACTTAGTGCAGTTTTACTGTAAGCAAGGTTTTCATTTACTAAATACAGAAGGTCCACAATCAACAGGAGGCGACCATTAATTTGGTACATGTTAAGATATTTTCTCCTAAAGTTTAAGTAGTCAAATTATGTGGAGGGATTTCATTTTGCCTGTCTTCTGTGGATAAGGGTGAAGACTGCTTTCTTCTAGTACTGCTGGGTACCCTAGACTTTATAATGTTATCCTACATGTATGTTATGGCACGTATCAAAGCAAGTTTAACTGATATCCAAACTATTGTGCAAACTAAAAGGGTACTAATAGTTGCAAAGTTACAAATCCAGCAGCTCAACAGTTTCCTGAAAGAAAAAAACTGTATAATTATCTACATGTACATGTATTAGGTAAAGTGAGATAGACCTCTGTTCTGTTGATACACAATTGTCCAGTGATTGTCATTCTATTGTATATAGAACCATTCTTTAATCATATTTACTCACAAGGTGGTTATACAGAATTATACATATTGTAATTCACTTTATGTTCACGGTAGCAAAAGTTTGGGGTCTGAGAAAAATGGACATGTTCACAGAACTATTATTTTTTAGCAGTAATGATAAGTTTGCGGTACAGAAGTCACTACCAAACCCTGGGAAGTTCTGCTGCAGTACCAACAAAAGCTGCCAGGGGGCCCAAAATCTAATCATTTCTAGGTCTCATCAAGACCTACCCACCTACCAAGTTTCATGACAATGCATACTAAGCTTCTTGAGTTACGCTCTTCACAAACAAACAGACGGACAAATGCTACTGAAAACATTCTTGGCGAAGGTAATAACTGTACTTCTGGCAGTTAATGCACCAATATGTTTCCCCTAAGAGCGGTATCCATATCTGATGAGGTCATCACCCCATTTATCATGTGGACATAAACTGGCAACCAAACAAAAACTCAGAGTAAACAGGCTGTCAAAAGAAACTGATAGATTCTTGTAACTTGAAACCTAAATGTCGAGTGAGATAATTTCCTCAACAACTGCAGTGTATCTGTCTCATTATTGGATTTTCCCTGGTATGGTTTTAATAGATCTGGAGCCAGCCAGTCTGTGAACCCAGTTTGACACCCCCCTATAAGGTTATGAGAAAATTTCATTCATTAAAATGTGTACAATATTTAGATCTGATCAGTGTTTGACAATTTTTAATAGGTAAATGCTTCCTTTTGATAGAGTGATGTTATGTTGTCAAAAATATTACACTTTAGATGTTTTTTTTTCTTTTGTAGTTGATAGTACGAATTGGGTCACTTATCATCTAGATATCTAAAATCAGCAAAATCATATTTTAGGAATCTGCTTCGAAAATACAAGCAGATGTTGGCTGAAAGTAGGCCAGATATGTTTTTGACACAGACGTACATGTATATCATCTGCTACATTGTAGCTGTCACCAGGTCCTTTATTGTGAGTTTGACCCAATTTACTTGCAAAAACCTGAGCATACATGTACATGTATGTCACATTTTTTTTGTGTGTAAATCTGCCTGCTTTGACATACATCAAGAACGTACATGTACATTCAGATCGTACGCCAGCCCTCAAGGTAACGTACCAAATGTATGTTCTTGATGTGCAACTCATGTACGTCAAAGCAGGCCAATTTAAACGCATGAAAAATTCGATGAATGCAGTTTTCATGCATATGCAGTTTTCATACCGTCAGGTTTTTGCCCATGTGTAAATGGAGACACTCAGTCTTAGACCTTTGACACATTACATTTTGGTGGCATGGGTACATGTTGATCAGTGGTTCCAGAAACATTTTGTCTACTGTTGAAGGCATTTCAATTTGTTTTAGTGGAAGGTCATGTGTCAATGCTAGAGAGATTTTCATGCCAAAGGTCATCACCCATGTCAAGCCTACTGTCAGGGTCGTCACCACTTATCAAAACACACAGAAGTGCCCAGCACCTAAGGAATTAGAGTAACTGGTTCGAAATGTGCAACTGTCACTATATGTTGTTACTATGCTCGACATAAAGACGACCACAGATTGGTACATCATGACTAACTATAAAAGCTTGCAATTGGTACTGGACCCAAAGCAATTTTCAGGGCATTTTCAAAGTTAATTTTCAGGTCAAGTTTTTTTCATGCCGCAAGCAGAGTCAACCCTACCCCATACCCTACCTACCATACCGGTATTACCATACCATACTCTGCAAAAATGAGATGTCACTGACATAAAATGATTACTACCAGATAAAATCAAGATGTACAGTGTCATGGCTTACATGCATGAAAGCATGTATTTCACAATCTTTTGTATACCATGTACAAAATGTATACTAAGTATGTTATTGTGTAACTTACAGTATTTTGTGGTTTTGTTTATATAACGTTAACATGTTAAGGACCACAGGAACAGTAGCTAAAAGAAATGTCAAGATACATGTAATTGTGGATCCAAATAAAGTCAAACGACCACTGATCGAATATATAATAGCCAATTTGCTGACATCAACACCATCTGTGTTCTCCAGACAAAGCCACTATGCCGTACCTGTCTGGGGTCTTCACGGAGCCGAGGCTGGAGTTTTCGCCGTCGTTCAGCCCGCTTGTCGCGGAGTACCACGTGACGGTCCCGTACGACACGCTCCTCATCAAGGTGTGGGCCTTCGCCACCAGCTGTGACGCTGAGGCCAGGCTGGAGGAGAAGGATGGACTGGCCAGGTTTGGGCTTAGCTTCTGTTACAACATAAAACATAGACCTGACTTACATGAGGGCAACGCCCTGATGGTACAACAATTGCGTATGCACCCTATATAGTGTACAAAAACTACATGTCAAATTTTTCCTGCATGTAAAGAATATGCGCTCTGATATTATCGTACTTTACCTCAAGGGCTACAGTGTACGCACAATCAAGACGTATATTCTTAACGTAATTCAGTGCAGGCTGAATCACATGCAGGAAAAGTTTGACGTACACAGTTTTTGTACCTTTGTGTGCGTACACAGTTGTGCCATTAGGTTTTTGCCTGCATCAAAATTTCCACTAGAATCTGCAATCGCTGACAGACCAAAGTTTTGAAAGATTGCTCAATGGACTTGACACAATTTTTTTGTGTGTGTTTTGTAGTCTGTTCACACATCTTGCTTCTCTCGGTTGGGTTAAGGCGGCCTAGGCTGATACTCATGTTCGAGTTCGGGCGTGTGTCTGCACGATTGCCACAAACATGTTTCGAACCCGAATCATGTTCCACCATGTTCGATATGACGTCATTCGAATAGAACGAGTGTTCGAATTCGGGGTTACCGGCGGTCATTTGTATGTTTCCCCTGTAAACCCGCGTTGTTACGCATTTTATTCACGGAGTATGACTTAAACGGCATTACGCCCAGCTCAAAACTACAGAAATGATCTTTTTTTAACCAATTATTACTTATTACCGCTTTCTTATCAAAATTGTCCGAGGCTATTTTGCATATGAGTCGATATTTTTTAACTGTGGCGATTTTTTAACGAAAAATGACAGAAAAATAGCTGTTTCTGTCGTTTTTGACCCAAAAAAACAATGTAACTGTCATTTTAAACAAAATAGCCTCGGACAAAAATAATAAATAGGGGGTGGGCTTTCTACTTGTAAAATATCACGATGAAAGATGTTGTTTCAGCTTGGGCGTAAAGCCATGAAGTAAACAGCTTTTTTTTAACCAAAATGTTGATTTTTAACCCAAAAATCCAGAAGTAGTAAAAACAAAATAACCTTTATTCAATGTGTTTTAAGTACTACTAGAACTGTGTGAAGTTTAGTTGTAGTGCGACCAAGCTATCAAAAGTTACAGGCATATGTATGAAATACTACTCATAGTATGCCATAGGCTGCCTTAACCCAACCGAGCTTGAACTGTTGCTCTTGTGGACAGGTTACCTTGGTACTAATGATATTGTACATCATATTATTATGCTTCAACCTTTAATAACAAGTCAAGAAAATACATTATTTTTGTGCTGTACTTGCTATTGCTACAGTATAAATGAAACATAGCAAATAATGCAACATAGACGGTTAATATGAGATTCTCAAGGTCGTCTTGTTGAAGGTCAAAGTTGTTTTTGTTTTCCAGACCTGCCAACTACAGCCTCGGTCTGGGCGAGAACAGGATCAACTTCCTGGTGGTGGACCTGACCCACACGGAACCCTGGGTAATCAACACCTACACCCTCCACGTCTACCGCGAGCGCCACACCGACACGGAGCCCGCCTTTCACCCCCGCGTGCCACACCAGGTGTGCACAATGACACAGGTGAGTGGCAGGGAAACACCTGTTTCTAACGTATCGACCTTTCCTGTCAGAAGTGTCTTCTCGTGGGGTTTTGCTATCAGGAGATCAAAGTGGACAGCACCTGTCAGGAATGACAATTGACTACCCTGTAGGGATAGTTTTCCTACCTTTCAAGGGTTTGTAATAAACATGTGTATGACATTTCCTACACCCCACCCCCTTATGTATCTTAGCAGTGAGAGAGACATGATAAAATCAGAACACTCAACTGTTGATAGGTGAAGGTTTGGCTTCTGTTACAAGAGTGCATTGCTTTGAAAAAAACAAGTTATGTAACCATTACACACATGTATATGGATCATACTGGTAGCCTGTGTTCACAGCTTTTGCTGCCAGGGGTTAATGACCCCCATCCCAACCATGAAGCAGGCAGGCCGCTAGGGGCGCGATTTATTCAGGCTAATATGGACTAGAATGGTAACATTACAAAAGCATTTACTAGTGTTATTCTTACTTACTTTACTTAACTTTACTAGTATTATTCAAGGAGCCATATTCAAGGTCATCCCTTGTCCAGACACTAGGCAGACAGACAATTATATTACTTGTGCAGTTCAACAAACACAAAAAGGTGATGTGCGAAAGATTCTTCAAGGACAATTCAAACTCTAATACTAAATTACGTAGATTTTGAGTGACATCCGTCACTCTTGTTCAGTGTCATACAAATGAACTGACAGAACTAAGTGAACACTTATCACATGTAAAAAAAAACTGGAAAACAGTTTGGATGTGTATGAAATAGTTAGGATGGGAGTGACCCCTTTTGAACCCCTTATCAAGATCAGTGGATGTCCCCTTGGTAGGTTTTAAACCTTTGATCATCCCTGTTTGTAATGATGATGATGATTGGCAGGATATGATGAGGATCCCTTGTTTAGCCTAGCGAGCCACAGCTACAAGGATAGAAAGTTTTGCAACAAAAGCAGTTTTTTCTCAGTCTTTCTTTATCTAACCGGTTAGACAGAATGCGTTCACAATGGTCTGTGCCAATCCAATTTGCATTTGCGTTCAAACAGATCAAAGAGTCACAACTAGAGCCCACCATCTTGACGCACAGTTTTGGCCGAAACGTCTTGCACTAGATGTAACTGTACTAGTGGAGCATTCACATTGCACAAATCAAATTGATTTAATACTCAAAACCGGTTCTATTTTTACAATGTGAACATACAGGGTCTAAATGTAGATGATGGACAGTCTTAGGCTCTCAGAAAGAGAAAGACAGCAAGGCTACAGTCAAATCATCCAAAGTAGAACATTTTGTCTCCTCAATGCTTTGCACATTCTCTGTGACGTCAGGCTGCATTTGTCACCAAGGTGATAGCTTAAGGCATTGACGTCAACTCTATTTTCTCTTGTCAAACGTGGGAGTCAACCGTGGTTAGGATCAGGGACTTTCTAAAGAAGTAAGAAGACTCCAGCTTCAATTTTAATAAAAACATATTAGAGTGTGATGAGTAGTAACTTTAAGCGGCTTATACTTGATTGTAAATCAGAGCTTTCCAACAAAGTAGGAAGGTGGGTGTTGTTGTATTTCAGCAAATTTCAGTTTTAATAAAAACATATTTGTGTACATGACTATGATAAGTACTATGTGGCTCTATGTGGCCTATACTTCATTGGAAATCAAACGCTTTCCCACGCAGAAGGACAATGCATGATGACAGTGCATATTTCTGCAAACCTCAGTTTTAATAAAAACATATTTGTGTGCATGACTATGATTAAGTAGTGTCTCTATGTGGCCTATACTTCATTGGAAATTAAAGCTTTCCCACACAGAAGGACAATGCGTGATGACGATGCATATTTCTGCAAACCTCAGTTTTAATAAAAACATATTTGTGCATGACTGTGATAAGTATGTAGTGACTTTAAGCAGCTTATACTTGATTGTAAATTAGAGCTTTCCCACACAGAAGGACAATGCGTGATGACGATGCATATTTCTGCAAACCTCAGTTTTAATAAAAACATATTTGTCCATGACTATGATATTATTAGTAACTTTAAGCAGCTTATACTTAATTGTAAATCAAAGCTTTCCCACTCAGAAGGATGGTGGGTGATGTCATATTTCTGCAAAGCTCAGTTTTAATAAAAACATTTTTGTACAACTGTGATAAGTAGTAACTTTAAACAGCTTATACCTAAAGTAGTAACTTTAAGCGGCTTATACTTGATTGTAAATCAAAGCTTTGTCAAACAGAAGGATGGTGGGTGATGTCGTATTTCCGCAAACCTCAGTTTTAATAAAAACCTTTTTGTGCGACTGTGATAAGTAGTAACTTTGAGGGGCTTATACTTACAAAAATGTAAAGTAGTAACTTTAAGTGGCTTATACTTGATTGTAAATCAAAGCTTTGTCAAACAGAAGAAAGGTGGGTGATGTTGTATCTCCCTGCAGCAAGTCTTGAGGTCTATGATTAGGGGCAGGCCGTGCCACCTGTGGCCTCCGTACCATCAGTCTTCATCAGCGAGGCTTTGAAGCAGGTGACAGGTGCCTAACCAGGCTGTCAAAACACCAGCTGGTTAGTCCTGCAGGTTAGAGTCAGCGCTGGAGCCAAAAGGGCACAGGCACGTCTTTGCCTTGCCGAACTTTCCAAACAAGGCTTTAGGCATTTCATCAGTCTTGCAAGACCATGAAAGTACTTCATCTACACCATGTACTTATTCTTGGTTTTAGGGTTTAGGCTTTAGGGTTCAACTTATTTTTGACATCTTTTTCAACCATAATTTTTTGGTATGCACTCCTGCACACTTCAAATGTACATACCTAGGGTATTTTGCAGTAAAAATATCTTTAAGCACACTTTTTCTCAAGGTGGCGATATTATGGACCCTGGTGATATTATGGACACAGATGTTATCCTTTTTTTCACCAGCCAACCTTTTTGGGCAGCAAAAGGATACTGTTCTGCCAATTTTATATTGTCTTATCTATTTGATACTATTTTGCAGCCACCAAAAGATCTGCTTGAAGATTATACATGTTTGTACCACACCCACATTGCATCCTTAGCATTTTACAGGTTAATGAACCTGCCGTAGGTCTTATAAGGTTAATGAACCTGTCCTAGGTCAGTGAACTTCTTGCATATCTCACATTGTTTGATATTAAAACTGTGTAACTTTCCAAACTAAAGTCTTAGTTTATACCCATTTGCCACTCTCTGTCCTAAAGCCTGCTACAACCTGTTAATCAATCAGGCAAAAATGTGGTTGAGATATTGTACTACATGTACAATGTATGTGTATGTAGATAGGCTGTTGTGTTTTATTTCGTAAAGTTGCGACACACAAGTTAAACCCTGTTAAAGTTAAAACTTTAATTTCGTATGATGAGGGAATACACTGTACAACAGTGCTTACAGTGTATCAAAACCAGTGTTCACCTGGGCATAGATTTGTCCTGGGTTGTCCTCCCCAAGTGCTAACGTTAGTATGATGAGTACAAAAGTGATGAGATAAGCAGTCCCCCGGGGGCCATTATGGCCACTAATGATACCCCTGTCACAAAGTCATGTTAAGTATCTAACTCTACGTATATCAGTTCTGAGCTCTCATCTTATCTTATTAGCTGGAATGATCATAGTCTAAATCCTAGTCTAAGCTACTACAGATAACTACTCTCTGAAACCAAGGACGTTATATAGGGATATATCTAGAGAAACCCCACTCAATTATCACAGAAAAAATAGAAATATAATGAAAATAGAGATTTACAAAGATCTCTCTCAAAAAATCAGTCACTTTTTTACCAAGGCCTACTTATTATCCAATAATCAGAGAAATATATCCCAGTCTTTGTGAGTTATGAAGTACAAAAGCACAAAACAGAAAAATATCAAAGCATGCATGCCATCAAAGAAAAGGCTTTGTAGCTCAATGTCAGATTGTATGTATCAATTACTGACACTAGTATATCTTATATTGCATAACTCCTGACAGTACATTGTAGGTAGTCCAGTATGTACTCTATCTAAATCAACAAAACAGAAAACAGTTGTTACAAGTGACAAGGTTTTACCACTGACGAAAGCAGGATCTGCTCCACTTGTCCGCCTGATCTGAAAATTGCAGTGGTTGAATGTTTCCAGTCTATTTTAGACCCAACTAAATCCTACCATGTTTTCCCCACTCCTAGCAACCAGAAGTCTACACAACATTGTCTTTCAGGCAATCCTCCTGACAATGCACCTTAAACACCTTCTGTAGATCCCTTGCATTATGATGATATGAACACAAGTATCCGCATTTCAAGTGTTATTCACTTATTGTTGGGCTGAAGTGCAGTGATCACTTTGGTTTGGGCAGCTATTCTGGTTGCAAACAGACTTTAAAATCTTGCTCATTATCAAAGCTGAAGACAGCAATATACATTGTACTGTCAGATTACAGAAATATGTGCATGTACATGTGTTTGATCCTGTTCAAGTTGCAATTTTCAGAGATTTTTATCTCAATTTTCAATCATACAGTCAAGTTGAATGAACTTTACTGCGTGTCCTTGGTCCAGAGTTTGTTGCAATTATTGTAGCCAACCATCCAATGTATTGAGAGAATGTCGGGTGCGACTGTTGAACCGCCTTCAGGTTTTAAAGGCACTCGAAGCAATTATAGAGCAGTAAAACTGGATTTGTAAACTGTAAGTCAGTTTTCTGTTCATTTTTTTTTAAGTTGTAAGTTAAGTTAACACTATCCCATGTCGTTCTGATATTTGTGGAGCAAAAACAAGTTGTCACTGACGAAAAATGGTTGCTTTTTTGTATCGTAAGCTGGTTCTACCAAAATATATATATATATATTTAAATCGTGATTGAAAGCCATGTAAAAGCCATGTGACACACAGTTGAAACTTGTACAAAAGTCATGTAAAGAAATATGTATAAATACTGGAATAGCATGTGGCTATCTATAACGCATAAAAAAAGATGCATAATCACACGCAATTAAAT